AGGTGTGTTTGATTAGGGTTCGAGCTAAATCTGCTGGACCTCCGGGAACAAGTTTGGTGACCCCTGTGCTGGAGAAACGTATGGTTGCATTTCATCTTTAAAATGAACGCTACAGGGCGGTATGAAGCTGTTACTTTTCACACTACCAGCTGACGAATTACCTCCGTATGGATGGCTTTACTGCTGTTACCAGTTTGCCCAGTGGCTCGCCGCATACAAGAGGTCTTCATTCCTGCAGCTGTAGACGGGAGCTGTGAGACCCAACTAGATTTCTTGCAGCCCGGGACTAAATTCATGAATAAGCTGCGGTAGCGGTCGGTAACTCTAGTGTAATTTGAACAGGAGCAGGTGGTCTAACAATATATCGCTCCCGAATTTTGGCGTTATTTCTGTACAGTCTTTTTTTTTTTTTTTTAAGTCCAGCAGAGCATGTTAGTTATGCGCCTATTTAGGTCCAAAGACTTGCACACTGCTGAACACACACAGGATGAACAGCAACACACAAATATCTTCACAGATGAAAACAATTAAAGGATTAAAATGATCCAGAAATGATGATTTTCTACATCAATATAAACATAATCCATGCCTTCTCCACCCCAGCAGGCTTTTTCAGTTTATTCATGACGATCTGCATCTGTATAATGTGATTAATATTAGCAGTATTATTGATTATATGCAGATTTATATCAGTTTTAATAAACACAAGTGTAGGTTTGTCCAGCTGTGGGGTTTTGGAGACGTCTGCATCAGCATATGTGGATAAGAACAGGACGTGTGTTTGGATATTACTCAGTTTTCTGACCACACTTCATTATTATTGTTCATTTATTTCTTTGCTGGAGATCAGAACTGAATTTAGAAAAAGTTTTAGCACAAATCTTTGTGCTTAACAAAGGAAATTAAATGGGCTAATGGATGTGTTCAGTGGAGTGAGTTTCCACCGTTTCCTCACTCCACCAAAGTAAAGGAGTAAAGAGTAAATGTAGAGAGAAAGTAAAGAGGCTGAATGGGGGAGGCTCGTTCTTTATTCTCGCGCTGCAGATGCTCTGTTTAACTGTTTTCTCGCTAGTGAAGCGTTCAGTTTTTACACTTATAAAGTCGCCATGTAAACAGCAAATGCACCATGGAGCGACACAACTGACTCTTAAAGGGAATAAGAGATGAGACTCTGATTGGTTTAATGCAGGTTATGCTCAAAACACAGCCAGAACTCATTAAGAGTATAAACTTAACACTGTTAGACCATGCGCCAGGGCGCAGAGCGTATTTATCCATCCCTAAAATAGCCAAAGTGTATTTGGACACTGCCTTAATGCTTTTGCGCCATGAGCTTTAGACTTTGTGCTTAGATCATTAAGATAGAATCCATCATATTTCTTCCATGCTACAGAGCACCATCAGAACATTTTGTTGTAAATAATATGCGAATGTGCGCATCCAGCGAATGTTACTTCCAACTATCATATGTGCACCACTGCACATCGCTGAGCAGTGCATCTGGTGTGCGCAATCCAATCTCATTCTGAAAACGTAGTCCCGCGGACATTTCTGGAGACTGCGATATATGTGGCCGGAGGTACGTATGGCTGCATTAATATTTTAAGTGAACGCTATAGGGCAGTGTGACGCCGCTCCTCTGAAAGCTCACCTCCATGTGGAGGCCTTTCCTGCTGCAACCAGTGGAGAGCAAGAGCCGACGGTGATGACCGGGTTCGAGTCTGGGGAAGAGCGGCTCCAGAAATCAGAATCAAAAAAACAGAATCCAAAAAATAAAGCGAACAAATTCATAACAGGGTGAGAATGTGGCGAAATCCGAAAACGCGGTCAAAATCAGACGAGGGCTTTTCTTTTTCTGGACGGCTTTTGTAAATCATCGCTTGGGTTTAGGGAGGTGAGGGGGGGGGCCGGTTGGGTTTAGGGAAGGAGGAGGGTGGGTCGGCCGATTGGCTGGCCGCCCAGACAATCATTCAGTCAGTCATTCAGTCAGTCAGACTGACAGTCGCTCGACAGCGGCCTCCAGCGGCCTTACGCAAGATCAGCGTGGGGGCGAACGGCGCTTGCGAGAGGCGTTCGAGATGTGAAAAAGCGCACACAGCTGCATCTCGCGGATTCGTTAAGACAAAAACTGCACAAATACGTACCTCCTGGGACGTATTTCACGGTCTCCAGAAACGTCCACGGGGCTACGTTTCCAGAATGAGCCTGGGTTGGGTGTGCGACTAGCTTCAGAAGACTACTGTCTCATCACAAAGAGGCAAACAAAACTGACATTTAGCCTACAATCCTTTCACAGCCTACAGTTTATCTGTTATCTCTCTTTTTTGGTAGTGCCTAATTTAAGTGTGAGGTTTTGCAAACCAGATCTAAATGTAGCGGGAATAATCGGGTCGGGTGGAAAATTACTCTAAGTGGGCAGCAGGTGAACAAAGACTGAATATATGACGGGAGCAGTTAGCTGCGGACTAAAACCTGGCGGGAGCGAAACCAAAAAAACAGTCCTGCGCAGACCTCTACTGCTTACGTTTGTGATCTTGAGACACAGAGAGGAGTTAACCACGATGAAAGGGTTCAAGTCTGGTGAAGAATGGATCCAGAAAGCAGGTAAGACAAAAAACAGAAGCCACAAAATAAAAAAAACAAGTAAATAACAGCGTGTGAATAAGGTAAAATCTGAAAGTGTGGTACAAATCAGGTGGCCGTGAGGGCTTTTCTTTTTCTGGACTGCTTTTGAAACACTGTGGGTTGGGCTTAGATTTTGCGCCTAGATCACTGAAATAGAGCCCTTAATGTTATTATATTATTAACTACCACCCCCTGGTGGTTCAGCCAATCGACAGCAGCCTCTAGTGAATTTACGTGAGAACAGCAGGCTTGAATGGCACTCACAAGAGAAATTTCAGATTTGAAAAAGTTTACACAGCGCCCTCTGGTGGATTCCCAAAAACTGCAAAGAATGTAGCTCCTGGGATGTATTTGGTGCTCTCCAGAAATGTATACAGGGGTACATATCCACAATGAGCCTGGGTTTAATTTTTTCTCACAGGCTAAAGATCAATCCAATGGTGTAAAATGAGCTGCGGCAGAGAGTGTGATGTGATGTTTGTGCTGTATGTCTTACTATGTTTACATCCAGTGTTATCATACACTGTAAACACATCTGCTAATGAACAGTTTCTGTATTTCAGTGTGTGTTTTGGGTTTATTTGCGGTGGTGAACTGCATTATGGGATGTGGATCTCTGCTCTGTCCACTTCTGATGTTGTAAATTCAGCTCTACAGTTTAACAGAGTGACTTTATTGACATTTTATTTGTTTGTAATAATAATATAATGTATAATAGATAATATCTAGAGGAATAAGTGTGTATAATGACAGTAAATGTGCTGCAGTTTATGACAAGACTTCTGTAGCGTAATATACAACACCAACACACACAATACAGCACTGCACACTATTACACATGACGATAAATGTTTTCGGTGATGTTTTAGTTCAGAATTGTTTTCTAAATTTTGATGGCAGCCGATCAGGATTTCATATCAGTTTGTGTGAGTGTGTGCTTGGTTTGAGTGTTAATCCTTCACTGTGTTTGTGTAGATGAATATGTAGTGTACGTGCTGTCTTACCTGTGTGTTTGTGTGTGTGTGTGTGTGTGTGTGTGTTAGTGCTTTTCACTGTTTAAGTGTGTGTTTGTGTGTCATTATGTGTGTGTTTATGCTTTTGCCTGTTTGTGTGTTTGTTTGTTTGTATGTGTGTACCTTTGCCTGTGTGTTTGTGCTTTTGACTGTTTATGTGTGTGTTTGCATGTGTGTGTATTTGTTTCTATTGACTGTGTTTATGTATGATTTGTGTCTTTGGGCATGTGTGTTTGTGTGTACCCTTGTATGTGTGTGTGCGCATGTGCATGCAAATTTGACTTTTTTTTGCCTGCATGTGTGTGTTTGCGTGAGTGTGTGTGTGTTTCTGACTTTGTGTGCGTGTGTTTCTGACTGAGTNTCTGACTTTCACGTAAGCAGGTGTGTGTTTGCGTGTGTTTCTGACTTTCACGTAAGCAGGTGTGTGTGTGTGTGTTTCTGACTTTCGCACAATAAAATATAAAATAATAAGGACACAATAAACACTGCAGTAAAATCATTGTGCCCTTTATACATTCACACACACACACACACACACACACACACACACACACACACTGCTCACACACACACACACACACACACACACGCGCGCTCTCTCCTAATTAATTAATGCTTAAGCAGTGTCTCTATGTGTGTAATTTTTGGTGTTGTTCTGAGGGTTATTTTCAGTGTGTGTTTAAACACTAGTGTGTGCGTGTGTGTGTGTATGTGTGTGTGCGCGCACATGTAAGAGTGTGTATTTATGTGTGTGCTCACTATTGTGTGTGTGTGGATGCGCACTAGTGTGCATTTATCTGTGCGCACTAGTGTGTGTGTGTGCGTGCTCTAGTGTGTATTTATGTTTGCACGCACTAGTGTCTGTGTGTGTGTGTGTGTGTGCGTGCGTGCGTGCGTGTGCACTAATGTGTATTTATGTGTGTGCGCGCACTAGTGTGTATTTATGTTTGCGCACACTAATGTGTGTGTGTGCGCTTGTGTGTGTGCGCGCACTAGTGTGTATTTATGTTTGCGCACACTAATGTGTGTGTGTGCGCTTGTGCACTGCTTTGTATTTATGTGTGTGCGCGCACTAGTGTGTGTGTGTGTGCGTGCATGTGCACTAGTGTATATATGTTTGTGCGCACTAGTGTGTGTGTGTGTGTGCGCGTGTGTGCATTATTGTGTATTTATGTGTGTGCGCGCACTAGTGTGTTTGCGTGCATGTGCACTAGTGTGTATTTATGTGTCTGCCCCCACTAGTGTATGTGTGTGTGCATTCTCTAGCTGGATGCTGACTCTCTCTTTCTGTCTCTGTCTGTCTGTGTGTGTGTGTGTGTGTGTGTGTGTGTGTGTGTGTGTGTGTGTGTGTCTTTGTCTCAGGATCTGAAGAAGGTGCTGTCGTTTCCTCCGTATCCGGGAGAGTTCCTGCACCCGGTGGTTTACGCCTGCACCGCCGTCATGCTGCTCTGTCTGTTCGCCTCCATCATCACCTACATAGTGCACCACAGGTAGGGCACAAACACACAATCAACACTTTTCCTACGACAGCAAAGGCTTCTGAAAGGAGAGAGCTGCCTGAATAACCTTTCATGGTGAAACACAAGTTGCTCTGGTCTCCACTTCTGGATCAAGAACAAGTGTAGAGGCTTAATTTCCTTTCTTTCATGTGGACCTGGTTGAACAGTTGTGGTTTTCTATTGGTGGATCTCATATGAGTGACAGGTTGACTCCGCCCTCACAGTTGCAAACACCAATCAGAGTAGAGAAGAGGGAGAATGAGAATGCCATTGGAGACGGAGGGAAAATTAGGATCAAATTAAGATTACAAGACACATGACAAACAAAGTAATGATGAGCAGTGATGGATTAAATATAATGATTGTGCAGTTTAATTTCACAGTGAGTTTAAATGGTCTGATTAATTAGTCATATCCACATATCCATCATCCACAATCAGCACAGCTCTTATTTCTGCTTCATTTCTTTGTTTACTTCATCATCATTCACGGATACCTCCTCTGTCCAGTAGATTGTGTTGGCTTTATCTGTAATAATAATTCTACCAGAAAGACCAGGGAGAATATTACGATACTGAATTACATGTATTGACAAGTACTATAGACGGATTTCACACGGCCGCCATTTTTAAAAGCAAAATCGAAGCTGCGGCGGAAAGAAACCCGGAAGCATCAAAGGGAGTTCCATAGGAATGTTGTGTAGCTGGCTGTATATCTTATCAGCGAAGAGAAAGTGACAAATTTATCATTTCGCCGCGTTCTGTTGTGATGATTCTACAGTTGCTATGGTAACACGTCTACAGTAATTGTTCTGTTGTGATGATTGTACAGTTGCTATGGTAACACGTCTACAGTAATTGTTCTGTTGTGATGATTCTACAGTTGCTATGGTAACACAATGTCTACAGTAATTGTTCTGTTGTGATGATTCTACAGTTGCTATGGTAACACGTCTACAGTAATTGTTCTTTTGTGATGATTCTACAGTTGCTATGGTAACACGTCTACAGTAATTGTTCTGTTGTGATGATTCTACAGTTGCTATGGTAACACAACGTCTACAGTAATTGTTCTGTTGTGATGATTCTACAGTTGCTATGGTAACACAACGTCTACAGTAGTTGCTCTGTTGTGGTAATTATATAGTTGCTATGATAACTCAATGTCAACAGTAATTGTTTTGTTGTGGTGATTCTACAGTTGCTATGGTAACACAACAACTACAGTAATCGATCAGTTGCATAGATATATACACTAGATATCGCATAGGGACCCTGAGTATGCATCAGTAGCGCCGCCACATTGGTACAGTGCTCCCAGGACAAGTGTCATTCAACCGCACTAGTCAAGACAGTGTTATTACGTGAAGATGCGGGACTTTAGCGCTGTCTATGAGTGTAGTAACGAGCAAACAAAGAAAACAAAGCACAAAGGCAGAACATTTCATAGGTAATATTCAGTTTTTTCTGTTTTTGTATGTTCTGAACTTTTGTGCTAATCAGGTAACGTTATTGATGATAACAGTCACTTACTGCATTCAGCATACGGCAAAGCAGCTCCAACTCGCACTAAACACTCGGCTTATGCTAGTTTTGTTGAATAAAATCAGCAAACAATGCAAAAGAATATGACAACGAGATGCTGCGCTGCCAGAAACTTGTATTATTGTCGGCTAACGTTAGTGAAAGAGTCGTTCGGGGGATTCATTCACAAACGAATCGCTCCCTCCGTCAGTATGAGCAGTGAAAGCAGGAGAGGAGCTGTGTTTCAGGACATGATTAGATCAGATTTAACAGGGAGGGTGAATAGTACATTTCTGTACACACAAACACAAGCTTTTTGTCAGGAATGCCCGTGCGGTCACTGATCCATCAATGTAGAAAAGTGATGTAAAATTATAATTTTCATAATTAGAAAAAAAACAATTGCATACTAACATCCAGGAAAACTCCCGATCACAGATATATGTGTATATGTGTATATCTCTGGCTTTGGATAGCCACAGTCCTCCACTGTACCTTGGTCCCGCATTCATTTCAAAGAAGCGCTACCCTGTATCAAGATGGCGGCGCTATTGTCACATTTCATCCAATAGACAACAACAGGCCAGGCGACATCTAGTGTATATATCTATCGATCAGTTGTATAGATTCTACAGTTGCTATGGTAACACAGCAACTACAGTAATTGATCCGTTGCAGTGATTCTACAGTTGCTGTGGTAACACAACAATGATATCAATATAAATAAATGACCCAATACTGTAGTTATATTATACTCCAGTACACTGCAGTTTACTGTAGTAAAAGCAAACTAAACCACAGTTGATCAGCTTGCTATAGTCACAGTACAGTATGCTGGAGCATTCATTAATACAGTGTCCACCTTAACGCATGGATGTGGATGTTTGCGCTTGTTGGTGTAGTGCAGGTTGAGTGCAGGTGAAGGTATCGTCTGTAAATCACACACACACACACACACGCACAGAGTTGAGCGCTCCATTGATTTTCTGTCATGAAGACACACAGGAGTCAGAAGTGGACGCTGTAAACGCTCCGTCTGTCAGATTTCACATGCTGTCACACTCGTGCTCCACAGCTTTCATCTCAGCTCGCCGCCTCAGATTGTTTTTCTTTATGTGTTTGTGTGAGTCAGGCATCTCTCATCCACGCCTGTGACTATCTTTGACATCTCATCAAGTATATATAGGCTGTTTTTCAGCTCCAAGATAAGCACCAAGGAAACTCTGCACTCAATAATTTTGTAAATAAATCACAGGAGTTTCGGTCATTATTCATCTCTCATTTACTTGGTTAATACTTTATATTAACTACACACTGTGATTAATTTATTAAGCATTAGCAAATAGTGAATTCATTATCTGTTAAGCATTACCTCTACGTTAATAGACGTTAGTAAGCAGTTTATAACTGCAGCTACAAATGCTCTGTTGTTGATTTAAAAGCACATTTACAATAATGATTGTGTTTTCATAGTTTGTTAATGATTGATTTTTCATAAGTAAATAAGGTATCGCATTATTTACAAACTTGTTAGTGGTGGTTAGAGCAGTGGGTAGCACGATTGCCTCACAGCAAGAAGGTCACTGGTTGAGCAGTTGCTGTTTCTGTGTGGTAGAGATCTACACGGGCCTGGATTTGTAATCCCGCTCCCGCCAGGTTTTAGTCCGCACCCATCCGTTTGATGTGGCAATACCACAACCGGGTCAAACAATAAAAAAAAGTTGAGGACTAAGGGTGTCACGATCTTCCAAATCCTCGATTCGATTACATTATCGATTCTAAAGACACGATTCGATTTTCGATTATGATTATTTAATTAATTTATGACCAATTAATTATTTGTAGTCTACCGTTTAAACTACCTGACCTGCATGGTCTTTGTTTTACCCATAAACAAATCATACAGTAAATGAATAAAGGCAAGATACACACATAATTACCACCTGTCAATCACTTCTTCTGCGGGACTCGTGAATAGGCAGTGATCTGTGTCGTTATAATGGCGTCGGTAAAAAAGACGCACAACCAACAGGAACCAGCCAACAGTATCTGAGGTGTTCGCTAAAATGACTAAGTACAAGTGAGTGAAAGATTGAAGCAGTCTACTAACCCGCTGACTGCCTGGACCTGCTGTCTCGAGCGCATGACTCTGTGTGTGCGTCTGTGTGTCTGTGTGGTCACGTGATGTGCATTTTCAGAGGTAGAGAGGAAGGAGGGCTGCTCAGAAATGCTACACGCCACTGTGGATGTCAAATCGTTGTCGTTCTAGAATGCAATTTAAAAGCAAAGACATATTAGTGTAAACAGGGCCTGAGTGTGTACTTTTCGCAAGCAGATTTGCAACGGGGGCGGGAGGAGAATCGAGACGCGGCCATCGTCTGTTGGCACAACCCTATACGTACATAGCAGAGCTTGCATAACTGTGTTTTTTTTGTCGACAACAGGAACGTTGTCAACATAACTCACTGGAAATCCAAAATGCTTCCACACCGGCGACTTCATTGAAAGAGGAGAGGGTTTAAGCTCTGTCGACGGGTCTCATCGGTCTGCAGTTTAACAAGCACGTCAACAAGCCTGTTATTTTCCCGCTTGGCAAGCCAAGCTAACGTAACATGGGGGCGTGGCAGCATCCACGATTCTATTTTTTAATTTGATAATAGAAATTGAGCATAAATTTCCGATTGATTTCGATTTAAAATCATAATCGTGACACCCTTATTGAGGACAGATTGTTAAGCAATTACTATCATGTCTGTAACTTGCACTTGGTTACATTACACAGTTTGAAGAGTGTTTACATGAGACTGTAGCAGTGGTTAGCATGTTTGTAACTTTATTTATTTCATTTCATTCATATATCATTTCTTTTTTAATCCAGCATATGTGCTGATGAACAAGCGTATGCACAACAGAAGTGTGTGTCGGGACGTTGCAGACGAGTGTATTCTGTTAGTTGAAGTTCATCAGTCATACACTCATACACCAAATATGAGTGTGTTGAACAGACGGCCAGTGCCCTGATGCTCTCTGAACACCCCGCGCGAAAAATGCTGGACTAGCACATTACATCAGATAAATGATGAGGCTGGTGTGTGTGTGTGTGTTTGTGCACGTGTGCGTGTGTGCGTGCGTGCGTGTGTGTGTGAGTGTGTGTGTGTGTGTGTGTGTGTGTGTGTGTGTGTGTGTGTGTGTGTGTGTGCGTGCGTGCGTGTGTGCGTGCGTGTGTGCGTTCGTGCGTGTGTGTGTGCGCGTGCGTGCGCGTGTGTGTGTGTGTTTAATGTCTGTGTAATGTGTGTTTGTGTGTCTTTGTGTGTGTCAATGTATGAGAAAGAGTGTCTATGTGTACATGGTGATTGTGTGTGTCTGTCTGTGATATTTTGTGTGTGTGTGTGTGTGTGTGTGTGTGTGTGTGTATATACATAGTATGTGAGCTGCTGTAGTCAGTGTATGAGGGTGTGTGTGTGTGCGTGCGTGCGTGCGTGTGTGCGTGCGTGTGTGCGTGCGTGTGTGCGTGCGTGTGTGCGTGCGTGCGTGTGTGCGTTCGTGCGTGTGTGTGCGCGTGTGTGCGCGTGTGTGTGTGTGTTTAATGTCTGTGTAATGTGTGTTTGTGTGTCTTTGTGTGTGTCAATGTATGAGAAAGAGTGTCTATGTGTACATGGGGATTGTGTGTGTCTGTCTGTGATATTTTGTGTGTGTGTGTGTGTGTGTGTGTGTGTGTGTGTATATACATAGTATGTGAGCTGCTGTAGTCAGTGTATGAGGGTGTGTGTGTGTGTGTGTGTGTGTGTGTGTGTGTGTGTGTGTGTGTGTGTGTGTGTGTGTGTGTGTGTGTGTGTGTGTGTGTGTGTGTGTGTGTGTCAGTTGTGCGTCTGACAGGTGTGTCCGTCACAACAGAAGTGTGTCTGGCTGCAGATTCTGCCAAGTTCATCAGCAGAGTGAATGAAGCGCTGTGAGACTCATTTAAAGTCCATCACATCATCCTGCAGCTTGTGGGACACACTCCAGCCCATAAACACACACAGTCTCTCACATTTACACACACACACACACACAAGCACCGGCATACCTGTCATTTTCTTTTCGGCTTTGTTCCTTTATTAATCCGGGGTCGCCACAGCAGAATGAACCGCCAACTTATCCAGCACATGTTTTATGCAGCGGATGCACTTCCAGCTGCAACCCATCACTGGAAAACATCCACACACACTCATTCACACTCATACACTATGGACAATTTAGCCTAC